ACACACACACACACACACACACACACACACACACACACACACACACCATGGCATGTGTGCCCCCCAAATAAATAAAGATGAAAAAAGAAGCCTTCTGAATGAACTACTTCTAAGCTTGGAGTGATTTGTCATGTTTTGGTTGCAATACAATGCTGCCCTGTATTGCCCTCTACTTTTTATATGAAAAAAAAAAAAACACCTCATCCATGTTTAGTTTAAAAGACTTATTTTCAGAGGGCAGGCAGTGTGTCTTCTATTTAACTTAAATCTCCTAGGACAACTCAAAGAGTGCCTGAAGTTAATCAATATGTACTTATAACTGTTTGTCCAAAGCAATGATATGCTTTCCTTCAAAGCTCTGGAATTATATCTTACATCAATGCAGTATGACAGGAACATAGGAGCCACAAATGTAACTTTAAATTTCTAGCCAGCCAGATGGCAGATAAAGGCACTTGCTGCACATACCTGGCATCCTAAGTTTGATTCCTGAAACCCACATAAAGGTGAAAAGAGAGAACTGACTCCACAAAGCTGTCCTCTCACCTCAACACATGTGCCATGGCATGTGTGCCCAAACACACATACATTACAGGCACACATACAACAACAATAATAATAATAGATTTGTAATATATTCGCTTTAAATTTTCTTGTAGATTGGACCAGGAATGTAACTCAGTCGGTAGAGTGGTCATGTAGTACACACAAGGCTCTATGTTCAATCCCCAGCACCAGAGAAACCAGGTATGACTGAACTCTGCACTACTCTGCAGGTGAAAGCATCACTCAGGAGGTAGAAACCGAGGATCACAAGTTCAATATCATCCTTGCCTACATAGCAAGTTTGAGAACATGTTTCATAAAAAGAAAGTAAAGAAGGAAGAAAAATGAAGGAAGAAAGGAAGGGAAGGAAGAAGGAAGGAACTAGTTGGCACACATTTTGAAAAATCAAATTTATTTTTAAGAATGCATAACTGAATATGTTAAAATATTATTGGGGGCGGAGCGCTAGGAATTAGCTCAGTTGGTAGAATGCTTGTCTAAGATGCAGATGTAGGTTGTGTAGGTTTGATCCCCAGTACCACACAAACCGAATGTGGCGGTATACTCTTATAATCTCAGCACATGGGATCAGCGGTTAAAGGTTATCCTCCTTCAAAGCCAGCCTGGATTACATGAGACCCTGTCTCAAAAACTATCATTCAACATGTAGTCAAAGTGTTGGGATATTTTACGTTTTGATTATGTGTTTGAAATCTGACGTGCAGTTTACTTTTTACAACACATCTCAATTTAAAATAGCCACATCAAAGAACTAGGTAGCCACCTATTAAACAGTGCCATTCTGCAATGCTGGGCTGCTTTCCAAAAAGATCGCTTTATTTTCTATTCGAATCATGACTCTGGGTAACTTATTAAGTACTCAAGCCAGCTAGAATGTATCAAACTCGTTCTGGTAAGGTGGACAGATTTGTAAATCACTAACTATTAATGCAGTGTGATCAGTGTTGTATGCATGCAGAGAAGAAACCCTGGCGGCTGTCTGAAAGGCGCGGAGTAGGAGGAATGAGAGTTCACAGAAGTCAAGTTTGACTTGGGGAGAAGAGGGCGGGGAGAGGGAAACGGGGGGGGGGGGGGGGGGGGGGGGGGGGGGGGGGGGGGGGGGGGGCGGGGGCGGGGGCGGGGGGGCGGGGAAGAGACAAGAAAGGAAGGCAGCCGGCTGCTGACAGATGGGAGCTGTAAGTTTCCAAAGGTTCAGGATTAGAGAGAGGCTTCAGAGGGCGGCCAGCCCAAAGGGCATTCCAGTGTGTAGGGACAAAAGGCGGTGGCGGGAAGGGGAACCCAGCGCGTGAGGATTGGTTGGGAGCAAGCAAAAGTGGTGGAAGATGGAAGACGGACGGGAGCTTGCGCCCACTATGGCAAGCAAACCCAGGAACCAAGAGAGTGGCCCCTAGCTGCCAGGACTCTACTTGGGGAACAGCTTGACTTGCGATGGAAGGCCGGCTTCTGACCCTCCCCGCACCGCACCCACGCTCTCTCACGCTGCCTAGCACTCAGCCCCGCCGCTCAGAGTTCTCAGAGTCCTGGGAACTTGCTAGTCCAACTTCTGGCCACACCCAGCCCGTCTTCTGTAAAACAGCACTTACAACTTTAAAACAGGCTGCCTGCTGAAAATGAGTCCATGGAAACGGTTGCTAGGGCCGGTAAACTACTACTCCCAGAAGTCATTTGGGACACTTTGGTAACAAGCAATTGGCCAATGATGTAACTGTTTCCTGGGTCGTGAGGGCTTTGGGGCGCTTCTTGACTGAGTTTACCTTTGACTTCGGTCAGAATTGTTCCGGGTTTCTTTCTCCCACAAGATGGCAGCGTCTAAAGACGAGTTACTGCTGCCGCGGCTTCCGGAGCTCTTCGAAACTAGCAAGAAACTTCTGGAGGAAGTGGAAATAGCAACTGAACCTACCGGCTCCCGGACAATCCAGGATAAAGTGTCCAAAGGATTGGACCTCCTTGAGAAGGCTGCTGGAATGTTATCGCAGCTTGATTTGTTCAGGTATGGGGGAGAGGGTCGTAACGGCAGAGAATGATTGGTTAGTAAGGGTGGAGCCATTGCGCCTGGGTGGAAAGGAACTTTAAGGCTAAAATCGCGCGGTTCCTGCTTGCTCACTCTGTGTGCATTCTTTTCATTGTCCATCTCTCTTCTGAGATGATTAATATCCCAGGACAATGATCCCTAGTGTACTGCTGACTGCCTCGACCACTTTCTTTTAATCTGGCCAGTGTTGTCTTTGTAACACTCTCTCCAAACTCTGTTCTCCCCCAGAAGCAAGGGCCACAGTTTAATGCTCAACCAGGCTTCACGGCCTCCTCTTTGCTCTTTCCAGCCGAAATGAAGATCTGGAAGAGATTGCTTCCACCGACCTGAAGTACCTGATGGTGCCAGCGTTGCAAGGAGCTCTCACCATGAAGCAAGTCAACCCCAGCAAGCGTCTAGATCATTTGCAGCGGGCTCGAGAACACTTCATCAATTTCTTAACTCAGTGTCATTGCTATCATGTGGCAGAGTTTCAGCTACCCCAAACCAAGAATAACTCAGCTGAAAATAACACTGCTAGCTCCTCCATGGCCTATCCAAATCTCGTTGCTATGGCATCTCAAAGACAGGCTAAAATAGAGAGGTGGGTCAATGGCTGTAATTTGAGGGCTGCAGTGTTGTTGGGGGTGCATGTGTTTGTGTGTGTGTGTGTATATACGTACTACAGAATAGTGTATGTCATTTTCTTGATTCTTCATTGAACATAGGCCATGATGAAAGCAAACTTTCCTGAGTCTTGAGAAACCTTTGCTGTTGTTGAGGGGATTGTACTAAAACTACAGAACCCCTCAACAGACACCTTATGATTGCCAGTAGTAACAGTGTTTATTATCCTGACCTTCAGGATTGGCAAAGTATATCCTAACTTTTTCCATATCACTGCATAATGCTGGCTGTATGGGGTAAATATCTCAAAAGTACACATCATTTTGTACTATTTATTGAGCGATTCTGTTCAGAAGTACAGGCTGAGATGTATAACATCCTAAATTAATCATAGCCCTGGTACAGCATCATGTAACATTGATGTTGTTTATTCTTAGTTCAGAAAAAAAAATCAATGAATGCTCAGTGTCTGAAAACAAAGTTAGGCACTGGGGATGCAGCCTGTCTGGGTGTTTGTATGAATGTGGGTGATCATTGTGCTCCGGCGAGGAGAAGTGGAATAGAAAGAACGGGACAGTAGAAGATGTATAAAGAGATGCATGGGGTAGTGTGAAGGCAGTCAAGGGAACAAGGGGGAAGAGTAGGCTTCCTAGGAAGGGGATTTCTGTTCTGAGGTGTTTAAGAGAAACAGGAATGTTAGCCTGAGGAAGAGGAGAGAGGCGATTAGCTCAGGGAAGCCATAGCATTAGTAAAGCCACAGAGGCATTAAACAGTCCGGGAGTGGGGTTGTGTGGGAGGAGAAAAGTGCCCTTCCCAAGCAACGAAATAAGGCTAGAGCAAAATGGTGGCAGAGAGGGGGAAGGGATAATGATGAAGACTGTTGTGGGGTTCACATCATAGAGAACTGGGATGTGAGGAAGGTAAGGAGCAAGCTTGAGAAAGTGTTTGAATCCAAGCTCCAGCAGTAGTTACTCTGTGATTTGGGGCAGGTGTAAAATTGAGATAATAAGTACTCTTTCATAGAGAATTTTATAGAGGACTAGCAGAAATACATATAGACCCAGCATAGCTCAGTAGCTGGCACAGTAGGACTCAAGGTCAGGTGTAGTTCAATATTTGTGGTTAAAAGTAAGATCACAGAATCAGAGCTCTGGGTTTGGGTTTCAGCTTTCCTTATGGGTCGTTGGACTTTTGGGTAAGTTATTTAACCTATCTGAGCCTCAGGTTCAGTCCTATGTGAAATTAAATAACAGTGGTACCTACTTAATATGGTTAAGAAGCAGTAATTGGCCTAGTACCTGTTAGTAAATAGACAGTATTAATCGGGTTATAAATGAAAATAAATAAATAAAAGGACAAGGAGTTGGGAGGGAGTTAAAGTGAATCTGAGACGAGTTGGAGGGGAATATAATCAAAACACACTGTACGTGTGTATGAAATTCTGAATAATTCATAAAAATATATTGACATTGTAAAGCATAAATCAGGGTAGGGGAGAGCAGAAACTCATTACTGTGGCATGTTGAATTTGAGGTTCCTACTAGACAGCTAAGTAGAGATGTCCAGTAGCAGGAAGCTCACAGGTAAGGCTTGGACTCTAGAGGGTTGAGAACGAGTTAGGTTATTGAACAAATACTTATTAAGCCCTTCACAAATGCCAGGAACTGTTCTAGATGTTAGAAAGCCAGTGTTGTCATGAAGCTTTGATTCCAGTAGACACAGACAATAAGCTGGTGATAAAATAAACTCAGCCTAGCATGCGACAGACACCAAGTTTGATTCACAGTGTGTGCGCACGCGCACACACACAAACATGCAGAAAGCAGAAGAGAGAGGAGGGAAATTTAATTTTTCAAGTTCAGGTGCTAAGGGTATGAAGAGTAATGAAATAATGTAGTTAGGGAACAGTGAGTCTCGGAGATTTATAAAAAAAAAAAAAGTGGGCTAAAGTGATACAAAATAGATTCCAGTCATCCTGTCTTTGACAACTGTGAACTGTGCCCATAGGCATAGATGAAAAGCTAAGCCAGTGACTCTTGTGTCCAGATAATCACCCCCAGGAAGACTGGAAGAGAGGGAGAGGCGAGGGGTGACAACAGCCGAGTGGAGGGCTGAGGGAAAGCTTTCTGAACACAATGGCCTGTGAGATGAGTCTTGCAAGATCACTAAAACTAGAAACTATAGAGTGCCTGAATGTGGAAATAATATTACTCATTGTTGACAATTTGCAAAATAAGCCTTAATCTTAGCATTCAGAGATGTCATTGTTAACTTTCTGCTGTATTTTCTTTCAGATATATAGTTATTTTAGTTAATAAATTATGAAGAATACTGTAAATACAGCTTTCTATCCTGTTTCTTGAAAACTAATATTGTGAGCATTTCCCGTGTCATTTGAAACCATATTTGATGGTTTTGTAATATTCCATTCTGTAGTTGTACCATGATCACTTAAACTATTACTGCCAAGTATTTAGATCCTGGTTTTGTTTTGTTCGCTTGCATTTTGGGGTATGGTTTTGTTTGTTTGTTTGTTTTGTTTTTGATATGTGTGTGTGTGATTCTAAGTAATGCTATGAACAAACATTTGTGCTTCTTTGGTTACTGTCTCCTTGGAATAGATTCCTCTTTGAATATTTTAAGACTCTTGCTGTATGGCAATTGTTGCCTTCCACAAGAATGAAGTCTTAAAATATTTCCCATTTCACAAGTCCTGGATGTTAACACTAGAAAATTCAATTAGTCAAATAGAAAAAAGTATCTAATTTTGATTTTGATTTCTTTGGCCTGTAATCTTGATCTTTGAACATTTAAAAAAAACTATGTGACAGGTGAGTTGTCAACACTACATTTATACTAATTCTCCTGGACTCATGTAACTATCCTATAATTCTTCTGACCATGGTTCTAACACCATTTATGGGTATTTCACGGTTGCTGGCTTTTTTTCTATTTCTTTCTTTTCCTTTTCTGTTGTGGTGCTAGGGATTGATTCCAGGACCTCATGCATATTAGGGAAGCACTCGACATCTCCAGCTCAAAGGCTTGGCTTTTCACTCCAAGTGTGCCCACATACCCAGGTCTTCACTACTTGAGTAAGTACACTGCCATTCACCTGGATGTGTAAGCAGGAAACCTACGAGGTAGCATCAAGACCTACCTTTTTCTGAATTTTGTCATCTAGTCCATCAGCAAGGCCCGTCAGTTCTAGCAGCAGAAGGTATCTTACCCTGTTATCTTCCATCTCCACTAGCACACCTTGCTCTAAGCCATCAGTACCTCCCAACCTTAGGTAGCCAAGGCCCTGTGTAATCTGATGTCTTTCTCCAGTTTCATCCCATGTCATTCTTCACTTGTTTATTGGACCCTAACTCCACTGGCTGCCATCCGGGTCTTTGAAGAGACCAGCTCCTTCCTTCCTTTGTATGTGCTGTTCTTTTTATATTAACTTTTCTTCATACGGCCAATTCTTTATTGTTTAGGTCTCAGCTTAAGTGTTACTCTTTAGCGATCCCTTTCCACGACAGTCTCTTTAAGTAGTTAACATCTGTCATTCTCTCTTCCCTCCACAGTTGCTTGCTTCATGGCGTGTATGTTGCTCATGTGTCCATCTTCTCAGGTCTGTCTCTCTCCCACTAGGATGTGTGCTGCGTAAGGGTAGGGGCCATTTCTCGCATGTTCACTGTTTTATACCTAGCACAGGGCCTGGCATGAACCAAGTGCTCCAACCATGTTTACTGGTGACAAGTAGGAGAAACCACATGAGCATGTCCCAAACAGAAGTAGATTCAAGGATGTGCAGGGAATAAATAGATGGTGGTCCGGTTTGACAGAAGCGCTAAGAGTTAGGATGAGCAGAGGTCTACATGAAGAGCTGTGGACAGAATACTGAAAGGAAACAGTTGGGCCACAAGTTACCGGTCCAACTGGAATGAAGTGATGAAAGGGAAGTTATAGCTATCACAGACACTGCTTTTGTAAGAAGCATTTATATGACTAGAGAAATGATTCAGGGCAAACTTGCTAGCTAAATGATAGAGTGCTTTCCTTGAATGCTCGAGGGCCTGGGCTCAATCTCCCGTTGTGCAAACAAACAAAACCCCCAAATTATTCAGACTCTTCCTTTCTGTAACTCCTTCTGCCCGTGACTCTAGCTACTGAGACTATCCTAAATAAAACACCGAAATGGCATGTCTTCTCTCATATCTGCTTCCCTGTGCATATTCTCTTAACCATCTTTCAGGACCAAGTGTGAGTGTGGTTGAGTAACAGCACCTCCATTCTCTTAACAGAAATGCAAGAAGCCGGGTAAGTAATAAGACTGTAAGACTTAGTGGATTTAGGTTCTTAAGTGACAGCTCGTGGCCACTTCCATAGACAACTGGAAATATGCGACTAAAACTTAGGAGTCTGTGTTGTGACTGATGTAAAAAAAAGTTAGGCGCCCTCTACTGTGGTGAGTATAGATGTGTTTTCCAAGGAAAAACATGGAGGAAAAACCTAAGAATTAAGCCTTCAGGGCAAGCTAGCAAAGAAAAGGGAAGGAAATAACCATCAGAAGAGACCCAACAAAGTACAAATAGAAGAATTTACAGAAGCAAAATGTTATATCCAGTCTAAGGCCTCTCTCTACATAGCCCCCTACACACACACACACACACACACACACACACCCTACCTTAACACATTTTAATTCATGCTGTTTAGCAGAGTATAATTATTTCCATCTCTAGACTTGGAACTTCTTAAGGTCAGAGGCCTTGACTAGTAATGTATTAGTATTCTAGCTGCATTGTATCTCATGATTCCCAGCCCAGTAACTAGATCATAGTTAAAGCTTGGAGGTATCTGGAGAGACAGATATAGAGTAGTATTCCGAAAAATGGAAGCAATACAGCATTGCAAAAACTGATTCTTTGGAATCAGACCATCTTGGGGTGACTAACTTCTACCGCTTAATAGATGGGCATGGTCTGTCCCTATCCCCTCCCCAGGCTCAGTTTTCTTATCTGCTAGTAATGTATGTATTGCTGTTTACAAAGACTTTTCTTGAGCATTTTTCCATTTGATCCTCTAACAGCCCCGTGAAATAGATCCACATAATAAAGCTATGGGGATGTGCTTTTCAAATTGCCTTGACCAAAATTACGTAACTAGGGTCAGGCTAGAATTGAAACTCGGGTCTTCAAATTTCCAGTTCTAGCGCTGTTCCTTCTGAAGCATAAAAGAGTCACTTGAAAGGGAAGGAAGTAGGTTAGAGAAAGGCGATTCTAAGATGGGAAAGAAAACAATAGAGTGAAACCTCACAGCCATGAACAGGGAAGGCGGGTAACTGACAGTGAGTCCTGAAAGAAGTGGAGAGGGACAAGAATGATAAAAAGCAGGATGGAGGAACAGATGAGGCATACAGAGGAAGCATGAAGCAGAGATTTGAAGACAGAGGGGCAATTAGTGTCATAACTGCCTGGCCATCAGACAAGCCTGATGCTGGTGTGGCATCTCCACAAAAGAGAATCCTGTCTCATAATAGGCATTTGTGGTTGGCCCATTTGGCACAGATTAGTCATTCCTTAGCACTGGAACTGCTTGGAAACAGCACAAGGAAACTCCCGAGTCATAGTGGTTATAGGGGTAAGGGATCCTAAGGCAATCGTTGGTCCACGCTGGAGCGCCTGGACCACTGATAGAGTCAAGGAGAGTGGTTTTCGGTCTGTCCTTCAGAGCCCTATAGTTCCACCTGTGAATTATGTTAGGAGACTTCCTCTAATTTGTCCAGGGCACATTTTTATTTGTATATTACTTACTGGGGTCCTATTCAAATGCTCATTTGAAGAAAGTCCCTTATCTAAGAGAAAAGTTTTTGTATGTTTGTTGTTTTTAAACCACTAGCCTAAAAGAAGAGGTGCTGAAAAGCCAGGAGTTTAAAGGATGGAAAAGAGCTAAGTCACAGAAGCAAGGGATGGAACAGAGAGTGAACAGGTTGAATGGTGATGGAGGAGAAAAGCCAAACAACTTTACTTACAGGACCACTAGACTCACCCAGAATTCATCGTGGAGTAGATACACCCTAGGGCCCTTATATGTTGTTTTCCTGTGACATAAGCACCTCCATGGAGGAGGAGGAGTAGCTGTTTGTGGAACCAAGCAACCATTCTCAAGTAACAGTAGTAGTAGCATTCCTGAGCTAGGAATTGGCCTTTGTATTGTTTTACCCAGAAGGCTACATATGGTGATACTGTAACATGCAAGATGCTTTCTTGTTGGGTCAAAGAAGAGCCTAAACGTTTTTATAACGGTGTCTACAGTGCAGTGGTCCTTGACTTTGGGATCAAACCTCCTCTTGTCAAGATAAGCTGGAAAAGGAGAGCAAGGGGGTGGGGGGATGAGAGAAGAGGAAGAAGGCATGTATGCAGAGGAAGGAACGGGGAGAATGCGTCTGCAGAGAGTTCTGTATAAACTTTGAGGAGTTCGAGGAGCACCCCCGTCACCTTAAACTCTCCATCGACTTGAAGCTAAGACCTTATCTAGGTACTCCCAAAGAAGAGCTTCCTGTTCTGGAAGTGAGGCGGGGGGTTCAGGCAGAGGGATTTGATAGACTTCTCTTAGAAACCATGGCCTTTTCACTTATGGCTTGTGTGTTGCAAGCCTTCCTAGCCAACGCATCTGCAAATGTTGCCTGTTTTGTATTTTCGTGCGTCCATCTCCGACCGCCTGTACTGCTATCTCCCTAAAGTTGTGTTGGTGTCTCACTTCCTCACCCTGCTTTCAGTCTCTTCTAGTCACTCCTCCTTGCGCATTTGCTTTTCGCTTTCAGAATACTCCTCTGGATCTGGGGATCACTCCCTGCTTTCTTGTCTTGGCTTTGCTTCGGCCATCTCTTCAGAAGGGTCGCTTCTGCTCACTTTGTGTGTACTGCTTCCACACCATCGTCTTACCCATTCACCTCGCTTCTTTCTGCTTCGTAGTGTGTGTCCTCATCCACCTTGTCATCTATTCCTTTTGATCTGTCTTCCTCCACTAGAATGAAAGCTGCCTGAAAGCAAGGACTGTCTGTTACAAACTCTCTCTAGCACTAAAAACGCTTGTCACGCTCTAGAGATAATTGACAGATGAATGATAGATGAGGTACCAGAATGCATCCTGGAAAATGGGGATCATTTTCAGCCAAGATCATTTGATTCTTAAAATTTGGTAGAGGTGAGTCAGGGTACCTCAGGAAGGTATTGCATGAAAGAAAAAAGATGACCAGCTTTTCAGCAATTTCATAAGAAGTCCTGCATCAGTGGCAGGTAAACAGTGACCTCTAAGGTTTTGGCTTTCCTTGAAGATTCATCTTCGAAGTGGAGGACTTACAGGAAGCACTCTGTGGCACTGAATATCCAGCAGAGTGAGGATTGATATGGCCGGATGACTAGAGCATCTCATCCTGAAAGATAATGATAGGTCTTGCTGAGATCAAGATATGCCTAGGCTCTTTCTTGCTTTGTAGTCTGGGGATTGGCTCTGAATTTTAGAATCTAGTCCTAGACCATAGACTCTATTTCCAAGGTAGGAATTCGCGTACATGCTGCCTGGACATCTGCAAAGGCAGACGTTACTGTAGCCTTCTTTAGAAGAAGTCTGTATTTTTAAGTTCATGGGTAATGCTTTTCTGTGGAACAGATACAAGCAGAAGAAGGAGGTGGAGCATAGGTTGTCTGCACTGGAATCTGCTGTGGAAAGTGGTCAAGCAGATGATGAGCGTGTTCGTGAATATCACCTCCTTCACCTTCGGAGGTGGATTGCTATCAGCTTAGAAGAGATTGAGAGCATTGACCAGGAAATAAAGATCCTCAAAGAAAAAGACTCTCCAAGAGAGGTAAGCCTTGTCCTTGCCCACATAGCAATGGAAAGCTGCTGCCAGAGGTTCGAACATTCTGCACAAGTGAAAGCAAATGAGAACCCTTAGCCAGATGTAGTAATGCACACTTAGAATTCTGTCTACCCAGGAGGCTGAGGCAGAAGCATCACAAGTGTGAGGTCTGTCTGAGCTACATAGTGAGTTGAAAGCCGAAGGAGTGACTTGAGATACAAAACAAAAGATCTCAAAACAAAAATTAGAAAACACTAGCAAAGTAACTCAGTGGTGGAGAACTTGTCCAGCATGGGCAGAGCCCTCATTTTATTCCTCAGTACTGCAAACCCTAAATCTTTGTAAGTCTCCATAAAAGCATTGTTCCCAGTAGGATAAGTGGGGAAAGGCTGTGGTTCGCCAGGGTAGCTTCGCAGTTCATTATAGCAACGGGCCCTGATAGTTTGTAATCGAAGGCACTCGTTATAACTGGATAGTATCAAGGAAATACTTCACCTTAAATTTTAAACTGGCTTTGGCTGTGAAAAGAGGGAATAAGGAGGGAAGGGGCCCTTTATAATCTAACTAATTATTGTAGGAAAGGGAAAGGCCAGGATTAGAATGAGTCAGAAAAGCAGAACTAGGGAGTAGAGGGGGAGAGAAAGAGAACCAAGGGAGATGAAACAAAAGAGCAGGGGATGTGTTTAGGTTGGGGAAAGACTTAGAACTTAGCCTTACACAAAGAGACCAGTCAATACCCAGATAGGAGACCCTGCAGCAGGGGCATCGTCATGTACAGGATGCCCAGAAGACTACTTTAAAAAACCTTATAGAAGAGCTTTAGAGCATCTTTGACCATCCTAACCCAGTTCTGGAGCTTGCTCTGTGGTACAGGATACAACATGAATTGACTTGATCAGCTACCACAATAATTGATCCTGAGGAAAACACCAACTTGGTCCTTCATGGTGAAGGACCGGGAAATGAACTTTTACTCTTCCATGGTCATAAGGCCTCTTGAGCATTTACCTAGGGGAATGGTTCTCTAGCATTTCGAGGTTAGACTCTTCTGAGTCCTTCCTTGTCCCTGCTCTGTTAGGTGTATGTGGTTTGGTTTGGTTTAGTTTTTTTAACCTCTCATGTGGTACTGAGTTGGGCTGTGGAAGAGATTCAGTGAAAACCAAATGAGCACCTTCTATTTAATCATACTTTTTTCCCCGAGACACAGTTTCTCTGTGTAACAGCCTTGGCTGTCCTGCACTCGCTCTGTAGACCAGGCTGGCCTCGAACTCACAATGATCTGCCTGACTCTGCCTCCCAAGTGCTGGGATTAAAAGTGTGTGCCACCACTGCCCGGCTATTTAACCATACATTGTTCCAGCATGCCTGTATGCCTTTATATAAAAAACACTGGTCTGCCCTTCCTCCCTTTACAGACTGGCATCAATTTCTAAAATACCTTAGAGGTTCTTGAAAATTAACAGCATAATTACATTGGAAAGGACTTTTGGAAGAAAGCTCTTAGTAATTCTTTCCCACAGAATGTCAGGCTAAAGGAAAACCCTTCAGACTCAGCTCAAGGAGCTTATGTGGAACATGGCAATAGGCTTTAGAATTTCCTTCTTTGGATGGGCCTATATTTAAAACCAAATAGTTTTTCACGTGTGGTAAGAAGTTTCCTGAGAGGACTTGCTCTCTCTCATTTTAGCAAAGTACTTAATACCCTTCAAGACTGATAAATAGAAGGAGCCATCAAGATGGCTGATAACCTGAGTCTGTTCCCCAAAAGCCACAGGATAGAAAGCAAGAACCTGCAAATCATCCTCTGACCTTCACACCTAACTCTCCCCCACAAGAAATAACTACATGTAAACCAAAAGCATAAAGCTTGACCACTGTTAGTAGAAAGGGAGTAAATTTCGAACCCAGAGCTTTCTCGGCCCCAGAAGACTTGAAAGCCTGTGTGATAAAATGGGGGAAATGGCAAATGCATCTCTAAAATTCATTTTCTTCTTAGGCATCAACTTCTCACTCATCTCTTCCAGAGAAGCCTCCAGTGAAACCTTTCATACTCACTCGGAACAAGGCCCAAGCCAAGTAGGTAGTGCTCCACACTGACCGGCCTTCACAGCCTCAGTGTGATGGTTCGTGCAGTGCTTGAGGAAAAGACAAAAGGGACGTTTTTGCAAAGTCCTGGCTTCAGCCGTGAGGGGTGCCCTTTCTGCAAAGCACCTAAAGCTTTCCTGATACTTTCTCCATGTCTGTCCTCAAAAAGACCCTTCACGTCAAACTTTTAAAAAGCCAATAACACAGAAAGAAATCAGTGAGTCGAATGCAGAATTGCATGCTTTCTGTGTTGTTTTTTTTTCCTATTATTGACACTCTTCCTGCCCTCGTGAGCAGTTCTCAGAAGGACATCTGTGCCTCCCCGTGATTGAATTCTGAGTTACTGATGGTATTCCACAGAGTTGCAGGAAAGGATTCTCCACATTTCAGAACTGGCCAAGTGTTAATTGCTAACTCCCAGTGTTATTGTGAACGCCGGCCCTTGGGGTTGCTTATTGAGAGATGGCCCTGGGCTGTCCACCCTCTCACTCTCATGAAGGCTCTTGACTTTAATCCTTCCTTCTGGATGCCCCCCTTTTTGCATTGGTGGAGGAGATTGTACAAGTCCTCCATGTAGGGCAATGTGAATGACACAGATAGCCGCCTCATTAAAGAGAAAAGAGGCTGTTCACTATTTCTATATTTGTTTAGTTCTCTAAACAGAATGTGATTTTTGCAGAGTATTTGGAGCTGGTTATCCAAGCCTGGCAACTATGACGGTGAGTGACTGGTATGAACAGCATCAGAAATACGGAGCATTACCAGATCGGGGACTAGCCAAGCCGACACCAGGTATGAAGCAATGGGAGGAAGATGGTTATGCTGCCAGTTCCTTACACCTTCCCAATTACAACCTGAGCAGAGTTAGTCTAAGCCAAGAGTCTGACAAGAATCGCCTAGTCGCTGTCGTTTTACCATTAAAACAGTAGCAGGTGACTCTGAACAGGGTCATTTTTTGATCTCTTCCAATTACGACATGAAAAGAGCAGCCAGACAGCAAAATCACAAACCCACTTGTGGTAATGACAGAGCAGATTGTATCACGCTGGTCCCTGGACAGTCAAAAATTACAAACTGAACACAATATTTTTAAAAGAACAACTCCCTACATGTACTTGGAAAGTGACCAGGAAGAGGCATAAGCTGGAGGGCAGGCCACACTTTGAAGGAGGGAGGGGAACTTCAAATCCCTTGAAAGCAGGCCTTCTGTGTCCTGGTGTCCAGTTTGGTGGGTAGAGCACGGTCGGCAGGTCGGCACTCAGGCGTCTTTGAAAGGGAACGACGGGCACAGGTTAGAGAAATGGGCGTTATGTAGCAGGAACGAAGTCACAAACAGTGCGCTTCTGCCACTTCACAGGTGAGACATTGTCTACCCTCTGAGCCTCAGTTTCCTTGTCTCCTTTGTCTTAATTATGTGAAGGAAACATTCTTATCTCCATTTTAAGATGGAGATGATGGTCTGTAAGAAGTGATTTATCCTACCTTAACTAATACAGTGGCCAGGCTAGGATTTAAATTCAAGCCTTCAACTTTCCAGTGTTAGTGTTCTTTCCAATAGAGTGTACACACACACATACACTAACACCGACCAGTGGCCATTTGAAAGGTGTCCTGTTTTGGTTTGGTTTGGTTTGGTTTGGTTTGGTTTGGTTTGGTTTTGGTTTTTCGAGACAGGGTTTCTCTGTGTAGTTTTGCGCCTTTCTTGGAGCTCACTTGGTAGCCCAGGCTGGCCTTGAACTCACAGAGATCCACCTGGCTCTGCCTCCCAAGTGCTGGGATTAAAGGCGTGCGCCACCACCGCCC